ATGTAAATACCACGCCCATGCACTTCAACATAATGCTCTTCGGCGGCCGGGTCCAACATGAGTGCTGTCTTCCGCACACCTTCCAAGTCGATATCGTCCAACCTCAAGGAGGGTATTTTGATATCATAATCGGGCCAACTACCCTCTGAATGTAGCACACCTGTGAGTCTCTCACCCAGCAGTTCACAGCGACCAACGGCGAGGTCCGACACGCTCACGACCAAGGAGCCCAAAGCGAAGCCACAGTTCACCGCTGGCATGCTAGGGTCAATAACATCCTTCTCGGGATCGTCACCAGAGACTTCGGGATCGGGCTTCAACATGAGATGACCGAAAACCAATAGGGTTTCCCGGTACAGCAGAACTGGTATTTCCACGCGGAGGGCCTCGGCGACAATCTGAACCTCCGGCGTTGGCCCACTATAGTTGAGATTCACTGAGCAATCGGGGAGCCGTAGGACCTCCCATCGGTTGGGCTCTATACTAGACTGACCGTCCAGTTGAATCAACCTCCATTTCAGTTGAGACACGGGGCCGGCCTTGGCGAGATATAGCTTCTCTATAACAACCCAATACCGCACTCGGCTGAGGTCTACGCCCAAATGATGACCTGGCAGTGTGAACTTCACCTTAACAATGCCAATGTTGATGAAACAGCTCTTGTAAAGGAGCTCCTTCCACCAGGAACTCTTGCCAGAATTCGCCGGCCCTGCTCCCTCTCTTCGTGGACTTTTACCGTCCTTGTTGGCAATCTTGAGAATGTCCACATTGACGTCAATCGAGGGAATAACCAAACCAAGGTGCCAAAAACTGATACTAGGCGGGCCGACCTTGGCCCAGATCCTCATATTCTCATCCACAGTGCTGATCTCCACCTCCGCTCCGCCTCCCGATGGCCGCTTTAATGACAAGTCACTAAGACTCCGCCTCAGTACGATTTTCATCACAATTTCCAAGAGCCAGTACACGGCCGATGGGAAAGCGAAGGCTATGAGAATAACGCAGACAGCGGCAGTTAGAATTGCCTTCAGCGGTAGTAGTATGCAGTAGGAGAGACCCCAAAGGGCCGCATTGGAGAATATTGACGTCAGAATATTTGTCAAGACTTAAAATTGAAAGTAATTCTACACCAACGCATTATGGAAAGCACTGAACTCAAGCCGCCAAGGATAATGAAATGGAGACAATATTGATAAGGAGAAATTGAGGTCCCTTGGCACTACCGTGATGGTAGCATGAAAAGACCAACAGACCAAGTGAATGTTAACCATAATTCTCCCTGGCTATACAAACGCTATCTATATCTCACTAGCTTTCACCTTTATATTAAACCTGCTCAGATTCTCAGTCGACGTCGGCTCCGGTCCAGGAACAGAATTGGATGTAGTAGTAGTAGTAGTAGTAGTAGTATTAGTAGCATTTAGCGCTTGTACTACCTGC